AAAATCATCACTGCATCGAGTTGTATCTACGAAAAGTGTTATAGAATCGGAAGAAATAAGTTACATATCATTAGAGTCTTCAAAGAGCTCGTTTCGCAAATTACAGATTTACATATCTGTAATTTGCGAAACGGCGCACTTCTGACCTTTTGGCTCGAGCTCTTTATTACAAAATCATCACTGCATCGAGTTGTATCTACGAAAAGTGTCATAGCATCGGAAGAAATAAGTTACATATCATTAGAGTCTTAATTATTTATAAAGAGGCAAACTTCTATCTTGCACCTTAAAGTGCACCTAAACCCGAAAATTTTTTTCCCTTAACGAAATAAGCGTATGTTTTGGAGTATTTCTGTCCTAAAATTTTTTTATTGGCTCAAATCTTTAATTTTCTGTGCCCAGTCAAAATACGGAAAATTGGCCACCATCTTGGCTCACGACTGAGTTTAAAGAGGAATGGTTCTAGCAGGAATGTGACGTCAAATTGAGAACACGAAAGTCTGCATTTCACACATTTTCACTTGTTTGGGAAGGTTGTTGTTGATATTGTCCAAAATATTCCGACTAGGTGTGTTGTATGAGGAATGTATGAAGCGTGATACCCTCTGGCAAATTTTGCACGTTGTTACATCCTCCTAAAACACACTTAGTTGGCATATTTTCGGACAAAATCGACTACAACCTTCCCAACCAAGTGAAAATGTGTGAAATACAGACTTTCGTGTTCTCGATTTGACCTCACATTACCTGCTAGAACCATTCCTCTTTAAACTCAGTCGTGAGCCAAGATAGCAGCAGATTTTCCATATTTTGACTGGGCACAGAAAATTGAAGATTTGAACAAATAAAAAAATTTTGCACAGAAATACTCCAAAAAGTATGCTTATTTTTTGTTAAGCCAAAAAAAATTTTTGCGTTTAGGTGCACATTAAGGTGCAGCCAATCCATCTTAAGGTGGATTGGCTGGTTGAATGCAACTTCACCCACAAATCTGAGTCTGAAAAAAAAAACTAACTTTCAAATTCACAATGGTACAATTAAAAGGCCCTGTACAGATCAGAAGCTTATACACTATGTAGAATAACTAGGAAATTAAATAACTTGGGTAGCTATATATTTTATACCCCAACAAAAAATTAAACTACTGTCAAAAATATGCAGGCTTCACTATGAAATACTTCTGGGTAGAAATAAAGTTCTATAGTGAGGAGTTCCTGACTGTGATAGGCTTAAAGATGTGCCATAATCTAATCACCTCGTGGACGAATAATACTGGTTACTTAAAAGTAATTAGGAATATACGTCCACAAGAGTAAGAGGTTCATCTAATTTAGACACAAAATAATTTTAGCTTCAATCACATTGATTAAGGGAGGAAAAATCTGTTCTACTACATCATCTACCATCTTGCAATAAGCAACAAATTCAATCAATGTCCTGCCAAAAGGCATAAAAGTAAGGTGAAGTTTCTCACCTTTACAACACTGTTTAAATTTAAACAAGGACACTCTTTCTGCTCAGCGAATAAGTGTAACAATTTGTGCGTTTTCTGCTGAATGCATTTCGAAATCTTTCCTTCATGGTGGGTGATTTTATCTCATTCAAATCATAAGGAAACTTCACAAGTGAATGTAAAGAATTGTTCAAAAGCATAACTACCCCCTTCCAAAATCAATGACTACAGTTGCAACACATTACTCCAATTTTTTTAATGGCCGTATCAAGTCGATTTAAGTTAATACACACATTTCAAGCAAATGCAAGTGGTTGGCATTTGTATCAACATTTTGATACAAACTGACCACTTCATGCGATCCGAAATTCGAATTGAGTTCGGCTCATGAAAAGTTTGGCGTCTGAACCGGGCCTACGAAACAGTTAAATGATAATAAATGATAAATCTCCGGATCACATTTCTCTTATGCTAATTGAAGGGCTAAAAGAGTTCTTCTTATCAAAAAAAACTAAAGAAAAGGCCACCGTTGACTCAAGCCTGACTCGCAGAGACTACAACAAGGCCTGTACAGGAAATCATACATTGTACAGATACATGCACCTATACCGAAAACACAGGCTTCAACTTGAACATAACATAACTGCTGTAATGGAAAAGAGAGCCACAACGAACCAATAAGAAATCTTCACTACAAATCACAAAAAGATTGTTTAAACTTTTTTATAGTGTGAAGCATTTAAAACCGCAAGTGAATGAAATCTAAAGTCTCTCCAGGTGAAAAAAGCAAAGAAATTGAAACAAATTAAATCTGAGTAAGCAAACTTTTGCAGATGTCCGCAATCGACCAGGATCGGGTTCATGTGCATATCATTTGCTAGTTAAATTAACCCTCATGTAAATAATGCACCATGTCTCAAAGAAAAATATTCGTACCGCGATACATGTATTCGTTTCATAATCTGGTCTCGTAAAATCAAAATTTGAAACGACGTTTAAAGAGCCTTGCGTGGGACGAAATTTTTTTTGAGGCTATACTAATACCGAGGGACATTGATAGGAAATATCATTGCGGTCAGAAATCTCTTGAATCCTGAAGCGTTTATTTCCGCATCATTATCTCTGGTCTAAATTAGACATCCAATACTGAAATCATTATTATCGACCTATGACGCATATAGAGGACGGATAAAGCAAATAAAAAGTGTATATAATTACATAAGATATATACATCTTGAGAGAGCAACCTCGTTTTTACTTCCCTTAAGATTTATCCTCTGGTAAGCCGTTTTTTACCTGTCCACGTTATCCGTTTTGAGTTTTCAGCTTTACTGGGTGCGCGAAGATCTTCTGGAAGGCGAGCTCGCTCTGTTATGGTCTCCTGGTTCCGTGCGGCATGTCATCTATGAATTTGACCGTGAAAATGGCCACAGGTCCTTCAGTTCCAACTCAAAAACCATTTCATAGTTATTCGTCATTCTTCCTGGCGCATACAGTCATCGACTTTGTCGTCTCTACGCCAGCAGTTCTTTCAAACGTCATTCTACTTATTACCATCTTCAGGGATTCTCGTCGACAAAAGCAGTTATGCAGGTCACCATTTACACTTCT